GAAGTCTTTGCCAAGCTAGGAAAATTTTAACTCTTGGTTGCAAGCGGAGTATTGGAGATGAAAGTAACATTATGGTGATGAATGCACCTTTGGTAAGAGGCAAAGTAGAAGGTTGGCTGAGTTTTCCCCGAGTTCAAGGTGTGTATGAGATTACTGTTTAACACCTTTTATTGCCTAATGTTAAACAATTGAATGCCCATGTGATAAGAGAGTTGTTTGATCATGCAGTGGCTGGGGATATCCTACGGATTCCGTTAGTGGAGGAAGTCGCAGAAGATAAGTGGACTTTGGAAAGAAGAGCAAAAGAGTTGCTATATTATGAGAACTGGTTACGGAATATGAAGGAAGATCTATAAGAATTTGGGGGTATAGAAGGGAGGATGGGGATTGGGATAACATGTGGAATATTAAGGCACCTCCTAGAGCCAAATATCTCTTGTGGAGAATATGTAGGGGCTGTCTACCGACTCGCTTGAGACTCCGTCGACATTATGTCCAGTGTTCGGTGGGTTGTCAGTTTTGTGGGAATATGGTTGAAGATGAATGACATGTTTTCTTCGGATGTGATGTCAATAATCATTGTTGACGGGCAACAAGTTTGTCTAATATTATTGAGTCTCGTTTACATTCCTTTGATGATGCTAAATTTTTAATTCTTGATATTTGTAGTCATGAGAATAGAAGAAATGTAGATAGAGTTTCGGTTATTTATGTTATATGTGATTTGGAAGAATAAAAATAACCTGGTTCAAAATAATGAGCAACAGGAAGGATCTAAACTTGGCATGCTTACTTTTTGGAATTTGCAAGATTGATTTTTTTCTCAAGAGAGTCGTGATAGTGATATTATCCAGCAGCATTTAACATCCTGGTGTCTGCCTGATGTAAGGAAGGTGAGGTGCAACGTTGATGCGGGTTTTAACATCAATTGTGGTACTACATGTAAAGGTTGGTGCGTAAGAGATAACTTTGGTATATTTGTCTAAGCAGAAGTTGCTTGGGATTTTGGTAGCCAACCTGTTATAAAAGCAGAATCTTTGGCTCTCAAAGAGACAATACATAGAGCTATCGCAATGCAATTGGATAATGTTATCTTTGAAAGCGACTCCAAAAAATGACCCAAGCTATTTTGTTCAATAATAGTGGTATTTAGGAGTTTAGTTTAATTATTCAGTCAATCCAAAATTTATTGCAATTTTATCTTAATTTTAAGGTAAAGTTTGTTAACCGCCACGAGAATATATATTAATCAATTAGTCTTTTTTAATTTTTTTAGAGAAAAAATTGATCTATAAGTATGCTTAATTAATTTTAAAATCAAAATTTTAATCAATTAATACACTTAATTGTTAATTGTGTTTAAAATATAAGATTATATCTTATTATATATATAACTAAAATTTTAATTAATTCATATTGCTAAATGTTTTTTTAAAGAAAATAACGAGGACCGTTTGATTTAACTTTTAAAAACTGTTCTTTTTTTCAAAAAGTTAAAAAGTGAAAACATATTTGGTGCTTTTTAAAATTTCAAAAACTAGTCCTAATTTCATAATTTTAAAAATAGAAATATTAAACTTGTTTTCGGCTTTTAAATTTTTTAGTTTTGTCTTTTCTTTTCAAACCGCAAAACACACGGAAAACACCCACCCTGCTTTCATTAATGGCATTTCCCCAATTACTGTCACATTTTTTAAGTTTTATTTCACTTTTATAGTTGTGTGTTTAATGATGAACTTCAACACCTATTCTTTTATAGGTTAAATTTTTCTATATTTTATTTATAGAAAAATGAAATTTTATTTTATTTGATAAATTATTTTATAAAAATCATTAGTTGTTTATCCTAAGTAAATTAATTTATTCGAATAACAACTTATTAACTAAATATTAATAAATAGTATTTAATTAAATAAATAAATATTTAGTTTATAGAATAATTTAGTGTAATTAAAAATTTTGAATTCAATTGTTATATATTATATTTTAAAATATAAAAAATGGAAAATTATTATGAAATAAGTAAGTATCATTAAAGATCATTTTAAAACTGTTTCTAACGAGGTTTAATTTTGTTTTTCTAAATAGTTATAAGGCCAAACTCGAATTATCACATTTATTCATTTTATATAAATATTAATTTGAATATCTATCTTCATTACATTAATATGTTTTAAACTCGAATTATCACATTATATATATATATATTTAAAATATGAAATTAATTGAAATATAATTTAAGTGTAAAACTATTTTATATTATTATTGAATTAAAATAAATTATTTTAATATATAAGAAGAGAGAAACATGAAAGAAGTAGTTATTAAAATAGTTTAATATAACTTAATTTTTTTTTTAATTTTATAATTATATGTCAAAATGATTTATTCTAATTACATGATTGTGTAAAATAGTTTTACACCAACAATATATTTAAATTAATCTCTTAAACTATTATTTTACCATTTATAGTCTTACATTTTTAGCCAAGTAGTTTATAGAAAAACACTATCCTTTTCTATTTTTCTAAAATAATCTAAAGTGAGTTTATTATATTTAAATTCCAAATTGTTGTAGACCAACTTTAATTATTCTGGTGAGTCGGTTTATTAATAATAGGTATGCAAGAAGTCCTAGATTTTTTAATATGATTTATAGATTAAAAGAATATCAAATTTTTAATTTACTTACTTGTATTTAAAAAATAGATTATTTCTTATGATTTTTATTTATTGAAAAAAAATCAAATATTTAATCAATTAGTTTATATTTAAAGATATTTTTCCTTTTTTGAAATAGTTTGTTTCAATATATTTTTCATAACATTCACACTTTTATTATTTCACCATTGGATAAATTAAATGGTTAAGATGTAAGATTGAGGGAGAGTGAAAAACTATAGATAGAAATTACTCAAATCCGAATATAACATCCGAGATTTTAAATATGTTAACGTGTCTTTGATTCATTTCTTAGATAGAAAACTATAAACAATTGTTAATGTTGAAACAAGAAATTATTACATTGTTTAAAATACATAAAAAGAAGTCTTTTATTTCTCTTTTAAACAATCACTTGAAGCCAACATAAGAATCAAGTCGGTCATAAAATAAGTAATTGTTTTTTGTTCATATACTAAAAAGTCACTAAACGATAGATAAATCTGATACAAAAAATTACTTCATTGCGAAAAATACGTAAATATGCTTTTGTTTTTCTATTGAATAAACATTAAATTAAACTATTGTTGAATTTGGTACAAGAAATTATCTTTTGACATATAACATGTATCTTGCTAAATATATAAATGTTAACTTTTATTTTAAAAAAATTGGACAATCGCTAAACGACGGTCAAAGCTGACATGAGAAATCCCTAGTTGCAAAATATATAAATTTTTATTTTAAAAGAAAAAGTTTAACAATCGCTAAACGACAATCAATGTTGTCATAGAAATTTCTATTTACAAAATATATAAACATCTATTTGAAAAGAATAATTGGACAATTGCTAAATGACAGTCAAATCTGACATGGGAAATCTCTATTTCAAAATCTATAAACATCTCTTTTAATTGCTAAACGACATTCAAATCTGACATGGGAAATCCCTATTTCAAAATCTATAAACATCTATTTTAAAAAGAAACATTGGACACTTGTTAAACGACAGTCAAATCTAACATGAGAAATCCTATTTGCAAAATATATAAATGTCTTTTTAAAAAGAAAAATTGGACAATTGCTAAACGACAGTCAAATCTGACATGAGAAATCCTATTTGCAAAATATATAAATGCGTGTTTTAAAAGAAAAATTGGACAATCGCTAAACGACAGTCAAATCTGACATGAAAAAGCCATATTTGAAAATATATAAACATCTAATTTAAAAGAAAAATTAGACAATCGCTAAACGACAGTAAAACCTGACCTAAGAAATCCCCTATTTACAAAATATATATCCATCTTATTTTAAAAATAAAAATAAAATATAAAAAAATTGAACAATCATTAAACGACAGTCAAAGCTGACATAAGAAATCTCCTATTTACCAAATTAAACCATCACTAAAGGACTATTGAAATTTATTCAAGAAATCACTTTATTTATAGCGTATTTTAGGGTATATGTATCCAAAATGCAAAAATAATCACTTTGACTAACATAAATATTAATATTGTTTAAGAAGAAAGTAATTAAAGCATATTAAGAAAAAGTTACTATATACTACTACTAGTAGTTAGTTGTTTAGAAGGATTAGGTTGAGTTATGATATTAAATTGTCCATTAATATCATGATTAATTGTTTGGCTGATTTTAGATCCTCTTGTGTATCCCCTGACAAGTGGTTAGTTAGTCTTCAATCATCCTATGTGTGTCATAACAATCCACGCGGAAATCTCCTTACTTTATAGGACTCATCCCAACATCAAAGTTACCTAAAAACCTCAAGATTATTGCTTAAAAAAGGTGACATATTCAACACTCTTACAAACCAAAGTCATTAATTACATGAGACAGAAAATAAAAGGACAAGAGAAACAATGTCAGATTATATTCTTGTTTTTTTTAATTAAAATAAAAATATATTTTCTTCTCATTTTATTGATCATAGATCTACAAAATCCTTCTCTTATATCTCGTTGTTTTTCTTTGGTCATTGAGATCACAGACCAAAACTGGCATATAGAAATTCTTATATGCTTTTCCAGCTATATTTGTTTGTCAAACATGACACAATCACTGAATTCCAAAACACATTAGGCTCATATTTAAGCTACACAGTGCCAACAAAATAGACACCATCCTATTCTCTGAAACTTGCATGAAAAACCACTTTTGATTCACTTTCCAAGGTGCTTACCCCATACCCTTTTGGTTTTTACCTCAAAAATTTGTTCTTATCCCATTCATGTTTGCTTCTGCAGGGTCTATAAATACATACAAGTTGAGAAACTAAGGAAAATCATTCAAGGGGTTTGAGAGAATAAGAGAATATGGTGAGATCTTGCTGGAAGCCTGCTGTGGATGGGGATGATGGAGATGGGAGTGGAAGTGGGAGTGGTGGGAGAGTGGATGGATTGTTATGGTACAAAGATTTAGGGAACCATGTTTATGGTGAATTTTCAATGGCTGTGATTCAAGCTAATACTTCTTTGGAGGATAGAAGTGACTTTGAGTCTGGTCCTTTGAGTTTTAACCATTTTGGTCCTCAAGGAACTTTTATTGGTGTTTATGATGGTCATGGTGGAGCTGAGGCTTCTCAATTTGTCAATGATAATCTTTTCTGCAATCTCAAAAGTATTTTCATTCTCTCTTCTTTTTCATATTCATTTTAAAATACTCTTGTTCACAACACTAAATCATCTGGAGTCTCTTTGGTCAAATATCAGCCATTGAATTAATCCAATGGTTGATATTAGGCCAAATAGACCGCACAGGATTGAACTTGCCAAACCACTCATCTTATTCCAACAACACTCTTAATGATTTTGAATATGGATCATCTTAAAAGATAAACTATTCATATTTATGTGAGTAGAGTTGTATCAAATTTTTGGAGGACCTGTACAGGTTAGTCGTAGTTTATCTATGACAAAAGCAATACAGGTTCTATTTTACTACAGTTTAAATGTGATAAATTTTTAACCTGTGCAATAGCCCGTTTTACACACATGCAGTCTGTATATGACCCTCACATGCACAAAGATACCCTTTATTTGGATTTTGTTACTTAGTCAATTTTCTTTGTGATCCAGGGCTTGCAGCTGAAAATGAAGGCTTATCAGAAAATGTTATCGAAAGGGCATTTTTGGCAACGGAAGAAAGTTTTCTATCACTTGTGAAGAAACAGTGGCTAAGTAAGCCACATATTGCATCAGCAGGAACATGTTGTTTGGCTGGGATAATTTGCAATGGAATGATATATATTGCAAACTCCGGCGACTCAAGGGTGGTGTTAGGAAGATTAGAGAGAGCAAGAAGGGAAACATCAGCTATACAATTATCTACAGAACATAATGTCAATCTTGAAAGAGTGAGAGATGAACTTAGATCAAAGCATCCTTTTGATTCAGAAATTGTGGTTCTGAGACACAATGTTTGGCGCGTCAAAGGCCTCATACAGGTAAAAATTTGGTTAAATATGTTTTTAGTATCTGTATCCGCTAAAAATTACAAAACCACATGTTTTTGCAGGTTTCGCGATCGATCGGTGATGCGTATTTGAAGAATGCTGAATTCAATAGGGAGCCTCTCCCAGCTAAGTTTAGGCTAGCTGAAACGTTTTTCAAGCCAATTATGACTTGTGAGCCATCAATTTCATCTCACAAACTTCATCCTGATGACCAGTTTCTCATATTTGCTTCTGATGGATTATGGGAGCATCTTAGCAACCAAGAGGCTGTTCATATAGTCAGCAATAATGCACCTAATGTAAGTGTCCATTCATTTTTGTTCATTCAAACACAATATCACCATGTTGCCGTCTAGACAGTCAAATCTTGATCACACCGTCCAAATGTTCAGATTGACTTATTTGAACATATCTACGTCCAAATGTTCAGATTGACTTATTTGAACATATCTACTGCGAATGTCTAAACTTATGAAAATAAGCTATGATATGTCTATAAACTCTTCGGAATAACTTATGAAAGCCGTAACTTGACTCGATTTTATTTTATTTCATGTGATAGGGAATTGCAAGAAGACTTGTGAAAGCAGCACTTAGAGAAGCAGCTAAGAAGAGAGAGATGAGACTAGCAGACCTACAAAAGATTGAACCAGGAACAAGGAGACACTTTCATGATGATATAACAGTGATTGTTGTGTTTCTAAATCACAAAATGATTGATAATACCTCTCATTGGGGCTCTCCTCTATCAATCAAGGGAGGTGGATCTGCTGATCATTAAGGTTCATCATCATTGATGATCATCTGCAAAGAGAACAGTTTATATTTGTATATTCAAATTAAGTTATTATTATTATTATTATTATTATTATTATTATTATTATTATTATTATTATTATTATTATTATTATTATTATTATTATTATTATAGCTAAGAAAATTTTAGACAATTGTCATTGTCAGTCCTACCTTGTTCTGTCAAGTTTAGGATCTGGTTATATAGCATGAACATGTAGTTTGTACAGATGCAATGTGTCTTGAAAAGATTATATATATGAATTTACTATGGCAAAATGAAATATCTATTCATTTGTACTTTGGATGTTTTCTTTCATTTTTTTCTCCTTCTCTTTCCTTTCTCTCTATCTCTCTCTTAATTTAATTCTCTCTCTTGATTTTTTTTTTTTTTTTTAAAGATGAGTGAGAGTGAGATCAAGAGAGATAGATATAGTTAGTTTGTTTTTTAAAGATGAGTGAGAGTGAGATCAAGAGAGATAGATAGTTAGGTGAGGGGAGGAGAAAAAAATAGAGAGGAGTCAAGTCTGGTCATTTGAATTATTATATTTTTTATTATTTTATAAAAATTTGGAGATAAAAAATATGAGGTTTTCTCGTTATATCCTAAATACATTTTTTTTTTAACTTAAAAAATTTTAAAATGTCATTTTTGTCATGTTCGAAATCAATCAACAATAATTATTTATTTGGAATGAGAAAGGGCGTGTGAAAATTATGTTTTCAGGTGATATCTTCCGCATAACAAGATATCTAGTGTACATATTAACTTCTAGAGTGTAACATTTTTTTTACATGATGTTTCTTAAATTTATATCATTATTTTCTTAAATTCTCTTAAAAATTCTTTCATTCTTATTCAATTACTGTAACTAAACTATATTTTGATATTATAAACATCATTAAATTACATGTAGTAAACATGTTTATCTCTTTTTATTGAATTATGATATGGAGTTTTCATGTATCAATGATTTTATCCAGATGATATCATCTAGAAATCTTTAAACTTCATCTCGATGTTAACTTCCATACATTTTGAATGATTATATGAATGGTGCATCATGAAGTTGTAAACTCAACTGATGTATCAAAAGATGTTATGTCAACAGCTATAAGTGGGAATATGACATGCCAACGAACAAAGGTTACAACCTAGTAGACCAAGATCAGATCTAGTAGACCTAGAATTGGGAGCTAGAAGGGTGCATCATCATATCAGCATAAGTTTTTTGAGCTTAAAAAACTTCTTTTAATGCTTCTCTCATTTCTTGTAGAGCAACGCTCTAATTTGATTGAGCATTGAGCATCTTCTTCTTGAGCTTACAACTTGGTGCTTGCTTCCACCTTGCACACATACTCTCGTGTTTTCTTCAGCTCTTTGTGTTCTTATTCTAGTTACTCTTTCTTGATTTTCTCTTCTGTCTGGTAGCATTTTGCACTTCGGCAATTTAGCATTTTCACTTGGCTTGCAGCAGCAGCTACAACAACATTTTTCTGCGCTCTTTCATACTTCTTTTAAAGCATTCAGATCTTCAATATATAGAGCTTGAGAATAGATCTGTTGGAGGGTATAATAGAAAACATATTTCAACTGTAATATCTCAACGTTCACTAAAGAAATGGTCATATCATAATACAAAAAGTTGTCCTTGCACCACTTAATCTAGGTAGAGATCACAAACTATTTTGTACTTTTATTTTCAACGATTTATCCAATTATTCTTAGTCTTCTGTCTTCTAAGTCTTCAGAGGCTTCAAATGTAGATTTGATGAAGCATGTTGTAGAGAGATTAATACTTGTAACTTTAGAACCTAAGTCTTTAGAATCTCAGAGCTTCGTTCAGTAGAACTATCTTAAGAGTCTTCAGCACTTGGTCTTTTAGAAGTGATGTCTTCAGAATCTTCATAACTCGTTCAACAAAACCTCGTCTTCAGAATCTTCAGAACTTGTTTAACACATATTTGTCTTCAGAGTCTTCAGAACTTCGTTCAACAAAACCTTGTCTTCAGAGTCTTCAGAACTTGATCCTTAGAAATGATGTCTTTAGAATCTTCCGAACTTCGTTCAACAGAACCTTGTCTTCAGAAACTTCAGAACTTGAACTTCAGAAATGATGTCTTTAGAATCTTCATAGCTTCGTTCAACAGAATAGTGTCTTCAAAAAATTCAGAAGTTGTAGCGATAGAAGCACATCTTTTAGAAAGCCTTCAGGGCTTAATGATAAAGTATCAATCAGAAGCTTTAATACAAACATTCTTCAGAACCGTTTCACTAAAGGAATTCTTGAATATTGACTTTAACTTGTACACAATATACGTTTTCTTCTAGAGTGTTTTGATCAGAGTCTGATGACGTCATGTGCCTTTCTATCAGAGACAGATCTTATTTAGTGAAAGCTACATACTAGACAGAAACCATAAAGTACACTGAATTGTTCTCTAAGATAACATGTGTAGTTTCATCAAAACTTAAGGACAGATGCAGAACCACTCTTGTTCTTATAATCCCCCCCTTTTTGATGATAACAAACCATGTATTTTGATAGAGCAATTCGTACAGGGTAATAACCACAAAACCACAAAATCAGAGTTAAGCTAACCAGCTCCTCTTGAACCTGTTACTCTCAAAATTCATTTATGCTTGTTCAGAGTCTCCCCCTGATCCCAAGACTCACAAAATAATTTTAAAGTAAAGAGCATATGAACAGAGAAGGAATACTTCTCAGAGACGTCTCATCAGAGTCTGACTAGAATTGCCTGGTCTTTATCTCAGAACCTGGCTTGCTATTAGAGCATGATTGACGTAATCAGAACCTGATTTATAATTTTCTTGATGATTTGAATCATGTATAAGAGCTAGGTTATTTTAATATCTTAGGCTTGTCACCAGAAGGTTCATAAATCAATATGTCATCAGAAGGTTCAAATCTTGAACATTTCCTGAATGACCATTTCTAGATTTGATATCCATGAGGTCCTCAACCTTTGAAGTAATAGAGTCTAGCTACTATGATTTCAGAGAGTTCACAACTTCTGACAAGCCTGAGGTATCAGAGCACTTTGTAAACTTCTTTCAGATTGTCCTTTTGCTTCTGATTAATGAGTGGTCAAAACTAATTTTTCAATGAATAATGTACTACATCAGAGCAAAATCATTTAGAGCATTTTTTTCTTGAACATATCTTCTGATAAATTGTTCTAAAAGGATAGTGAACTTTTACAAAGTTCCTGATCAAATATTAAATAAAGGTGCATATTGAAATATATATTTGGGATCAAGATTCTTGGAATATGTATATCAAAATCATTTCACTTTTTCCCCCTTTGTCAGAAATAAAAAAGGTATGTAAAATGTAGTAAAAAAATCGACATAGATAAAAAAAATAAAAGACCTATTCAGGATGAATAGAAGATATTTATTAACAAGAAAAGAATACAAAAGAGACCATAAAACATTAACATAACAACTTAGAAAAAATAACAACACGTCCAAAAAATTTCAGGGTCTGAGGTTTGTAAGCTCCCCCTGTATCAAATAGTCTTAGAGAAGAGGTTTGTAAGCTCTTCCTAATTTCTATTTGTGAAGTCTAACATGTGAAGTTAGTTTCTCTAAAGAAGAACACAAAACATAATCAAGAAAGAAATTAAAGAGATAGTAAAAGAAAACATGAATATTAAAATAAAGAAAGAGAAATATTCATTCAACTATTAAACAATTAATACAAAAAAAGGGTAACCCTAATATGCCTAAGGTAGGGAGGAAGATGTTTTTGAGATGAGCAAGTTTTAAATATTCTTGTTGAATTCTTCTTGCTTCTCAGGTCTAGTTCTTAGCATCTTCTGTTCTTCCTGAATATCTTTTAAGATGTTCATCAACCGCAGAAGAAGATCAGCGACAGAGTTAACTGTATGACCCCTAGAGGTTTCTGTAGAACCCTTTTTAGTGGCAATCGTTCCAGCAGTTACACCAGGAGCATCTTTTTCCTTTTCTTTAGATAGAACAGACATAACGACTTCTCTTTTTCTCTTTCTGCTTAAACTAGTTTCCAGATTCTGTTTTTCAGATGCCCTAATCACATTTGTAATTAAGGACATATTTACCAGGTCTTCACCATGGAAAGGTTTTCCAAAAATGATTTCTAGTGTAGATCGAGGATTCAATAAATCCATAATCTTGCAATCCATCAGAATTGTAGATATTAATCTTCCAAGGGAATCCAGGTTCTCAAATTTTTGGAAATTTTCGTAGCATAGTTGATAGAGGAACATAGATAGAAGAAAAGACAAGCCGACAAGTTGATTTTTTTCCCTTTAGCCAGATGAAACAACATGTACTTGGTGTCTATGTCCATATGCTTGGCAACTTAGTTGCAGACTTGTGATAGATGCTTTCAGTGATAATCCTGAACTAAAACCTTAGGTTATCAAACAAATTTATTGCTGAGGATATTCCATTTTTGAAAATGGTAGAGGTGATCATTCTGATAATCTCTTTATAATTCATTGCGGAATTAAGCAGTATAGCAGCATGTTGTTCGTAACGTCGAACACCTGAGTTGCCATGAAAGATTAATGTAGCAATGTTAGTTTCACTTATGCATATAACATTTCCCTTAATGTTTGAGTGAACCTTGTTTTCATCTGAGACATATGCATTTCCCCAAAACTCTTTGACAAACTCCGGGTAAGTTGGCCCTTTTAGAAGGTTAAAGTAATTCTTCCAACCTTGGGTTTTAAGAATTTATGAGAAATCAAAGCCATTAACAGATAGATCTCTAAAGTCTACTGTTAATTTAGATAGAATAGTCAAGTTTTCTATAGGAAGGGCTAAAGTGATTTGAGGAGTATCATTACTTTGAAGGTTTCCCAAACGTTGTTAATGTAGAGCCATAAGTTAATTACTGGATATGTAGTCGACCATTTGTTCAAGGAGAGAAGGGAACTCACACTGGATTTTTAGGGTTAAGAGAGCAAAAGGATTGA